AAACAGCCCCGAGCTGTTGTGGCCCAACAGCTGTTAGGGGATGCTGCAGGGGGGTCCCAGCACACACCCACAGACACAGCCAGCACCACTGCTGCCAGCAGCCACAGAGGAAAGAGCCTGGTGCTCCAAGGCTGGATCATCCCTGTGCATGCAGGGACAGACCTCCCGGCCCAGGCTGCAGGTCAGCAGAGGAAGGGAGGCGATGGCCCCGTGGGGAACAGGGCCCATGGCAGAGATGACCATGCACAACAACTGCTTCCCCCACACGGACAAGCCAGATGCACGAGTCGCAGGGATGAGACTGGGAGCACCATCTCTGTGGACAGTCAACAGCTCCCTGGAACCGAAGAGCTCCCTGTCATGGCATCATTAATTATTTGTATGAGGGCAACAGCTCGCCAAATAACACACAGGCCTAACTGCTTGGGAGAATGCCCTGAAAAACCCAGACAGCCAGTGCAAACAGCATCAGACATGCAAACCTATCGTGGTGACTGCTCCTGAAGCAGGGCCACTCCATGCACACAGCTAGTGCAAGAGCACAGCACCAGAGCCCCAGGACAGAGAGGGGAACACGATCTAATCGCAGACAAAGCTGCAGCCTCGCTGTGAGGGTTCCATCAAGGAGAAAGCAAGAAGTAAAGCAATGTGCGTGTATACAAAGAATTCAACTCTTCCAGTCAGTGAACTTTAAAACTCCTCAATTTCAGCTCTCCACCATCAGGTGTTCTCTTTGCATCACGGAGATCATACTTGACTTAAAACTGCAAGTTTGTTTTAAAAATACTGATACAGATCCCCAGTTTTTCTGCTAAAGGCAGGATGTGGAGAAAGCACAAAGGGACAGAACTGAACCTCCTCACCGTGCTGAGCCTGCAGGCAGCTATGAATGGTGGACTGGGACCACTTGGGCTGTTCCACTCAGCCCAGAGGGTCTCTGGGGTGCACAAGTGCTGAGGTCTCCTGTGCTGGTGATTCGCACCAGCAGAAGGACCCAACTAAAGCCCCCCCATGCCAGTGCTTGGAGGTCCCACTCCCTTCACACAGCCACCCGCAGCGTTTCTCTCCCCACACCCCCAGACCAGTCACCAGCAGTATGTGAGCATCCTGAGGTGTCAGCATCTGCAGGGGTGATCCCATCCCATGGCTGACAGTGCTGGCACAGGGCAGCGTGGCCACTGAGCAGGGCCAACAGGATCACCTCCCCTTTTTCTCCAGTCACACAAAGCCACTGGGGCCACACTGACTCCAGGGCTCCTCTGCAGACCCCTGCCCAGCCCCCTGGTACTCAGCTTCCACAACACCAAACCAAGACCTCCAGACCACAAAGGGACAACCTGTCCAGGTGTCAGACACTGCAAGCAGCTTGTAGTTCCCATGATCCACAACATCCTTTCATGCTTGTGCACCCCTGATCCACACCCAGGCAGGGAACTCGGTCACGTCCCAGATGCTGCGTCTGCCTATGCTGGTAACAAGCATTTGTGGATGTAACCCCAATTCCCTGGGCTCAGAGGCTTCCCTGTCATTCTACTGTCCTTGCTGTGCTCTCAGGAAGGCTCCCAGTGCTTTTCCAAAAGCAGGATGGCTTGGGGCAGAGCTCACGGCATGGGAGATGCCCACTCAGGCATGAGCATCGTGCTGGAGAGAGCAAACTCCTGAAGTCCAGCCTGGTCACTGGGGCTGTGCAGGGGGTTACCCTGTGGTTGGGCACATGAGGGACCAGGGGAACACTCAGACACTGGCTAAAAATCAGCAGCAGCTCCCACAGGGACAGACAGCATATCCTGCAGGTTAGAAGGAAGGAGCAGGTGGAAGAGAACAATTTCCAAGGGAACAGCAGAGCCCTGCTCCTCGCCACAGCAGGACTGAGCTCTGGCACATAGAGGGGATGAAGTCCAAGTTCATCACCGAAGATAATATTTACTGCCAGGAATCAGTGTCCTGTGCTTAAGAAAGAGAGATGAAGATATGCAAGTGGCACACACACCACAGAGAGGTGTGATCACACTGCTAACAAAAGGAAAGGTTTAAAGTCTCTTCCTACTCCCCTTGGGCACTGTTTGAGGGCAGTCAGGTACGTTCTGCATTAGGGGGAAAAAGGCAAGTGAAGGAATTTATCAATGAAAGTTAAAGTACAAGGGGGGATTGGGTGCCATCAAGGAAAGCTGTACCATGGAAGTGGTCCTTTAGACACCCCACCATTAGGATGGACATAATCACAAATTGCAACCACACAAACAATTCTGGCAGCATAACAATAACTAACTAAAAGGAGTCTCAGTTCATTCACACCAGTACGTGCGTGCAAAGACCTACATTTGTGACTGCCACATGAACTCTGGCTGCTGAGCTACAGCCACTGCAGACAGCAGCCAAACCTTCAGCTTTCCCTACAAGTTACCAGGCAGTGTGGAGCTGCCATCCTGACAAGCCACCCTGCCCCAGCAGCACGGAGCCAGCATCCCCACCACGCCACCCTGTCCTACAGTGTTGGCAGCAACTCCAGCTTCTGAGACTGCCCTGACTGAGACCCTGGACCAGAGACCCACAGCGCTTAGGGCTGACCAATCTCAAGGCAGCAGAGACACAGATAACGTGGCATGGGGCAAGCACAAAGAAATGGCAGTGTCCTGGTGCCAACTCCATTTTACAGGTGGAGAAGCCAAGGTGGGGAAAGTGCTTCCCTTCCCTCCTGCTCTGCCAGGCTAGGAGATACTCTTGGGACTGAACCACAAAGCAAGGAACCCCAAGGGTCTGCCATTCCCCTATTTCACTACATAAGAAAAAACCTGACAGTATTAAAAGCTCAGAGTGTATAATGCATCAAAAGAAGTGCTATATGCAATATATAAACAAGTGATAGAAGTCACTGTAAGGAGATGCTGGCATAAACACTTCAATAGTTGCTTCTTTGCTTAAAGAGCATTGACATTTCTGTGCATAGGAAAGATCTCCAATTACTGTACCTGGGACACAGCTGCGAGCCGTCAGCTTCCCTGGTGCACTCAATCAGGTAATCCCAGAGAAGGTCAGGAAGAAACAGCTGCTGGCTTGGGCAGTGATCTCCCCCCATTCTGTCTTTGTTTTGTGTTTGCATGGCACCAAGCTGGTCCGTGACAACAGCCCAGCACCGGCACAGCACCAGGGAAGCTGTGGGTGCTGCTGAGGTGTGAACCACCAGCACTGTCCTGCCCCTGCAAGGCTGAACACTCTGGGAAGGAGGGGGCAGAAGCACATGTTTGGGTTGGGCAGGTGTAAAGGTGGCTGTAGGTCAGGCAGCCAGGGCATATCCTCAGGGCTGCAATATCACTTCTTTATCCCATGCCCAGAGCACTCCACCAGCCTCCTCTGCCCAGACCCTCTCACACCAGCTCTAACACAACCTGCTCTTCTGCAACCTCCTCCCCAGCGCAGCACAGCTCCAGGGCTAGGAATGAGCTGCACAAACCAGAGAGCTGATGCAGGGATAGAAAATACCAAACTGCATTCTGCAAATGAAAACCTGTGTATGCCTCTTACTCCACGAGAGAAGTTACACACACTCACTAGCCCTTTTCTTATAGCATGACTTTAAAGATGAAAAAGCAGCTGCTCACCATATTCAGCGCTTGATCTTCTTCTCCCTGTTTTGAATAAAACCAAACCTTTTTATATGCCACTTTCTATCCTCTTCTACCAAGTTTCTAAACTTATATTTCAAGATAAGCCTTTCCTGCAAGAAAATCCAGTACAATAAAATACTGTGTCTGAAATTATATTTATAAACACAACAAGCACAGCCAGTCCTTTATTCCTTCCCCCCACTGGTGCAGCACGCTGAAAACACTCTCACAGACAACTGCACTTTCTCAGTGCTGACGTCCACTTTCTCAGAATCCCTATGGAAATTCACACAGAACCAAGTGGGTGCCACACCAAGCGTTATCAAGACTTTGCTTCCACAATTGCCACAGAAAACTGCTTGGAGCTCCTCACATTTAAATGCCCCTGACATGAAGACCACGTCCTCTATTGCAATAAAGAGTGACCAGATAATCCAGGTAGTAACTAACTTCCTGTCTCACATTATTTTTTCCTTCATTTTCAGAGCAGCTAAGCAGCTACCATACTAAGAACAACAAAAAGTTCAGCAGCTCAGCCACAGACCACTTCTTATCAAGAAACAGTATGGGTTGCTTGGAACCGTGAACTACAGAGCTACTGGGAATTTGCAAGTTCCACTGATGTGCTGTATTCTTCTCAGAGATTTTCAGAGAGAAACACTGAGCTATCACAATCCATTGATTTGCTGAACTGCCGAGGCACTCAATGCTTCCTTACTGCAGTCCAGTGTTTTCTAATAACAAGGACTTTCAGCGTAAAATTCCCTTAAGACGTTACCCAACATCAGACAACAATATTTAGAGACTTCTTCACTAACAGAATTAGATACTGTCAACGGAAAAAACTTCCCGATGTAGAACTTGTTGAATAAAGAGTAAACCTCATTTGTTCAGCGAAGCCTGCGCTCACATGAAAACAGCATCCTTCTTCCCTTCAGCCCAGCAGCACCTGGAACAACTTGCAATCTTGTTTATTTCAGTAATTATTAATTACCGACCTATTTAGGCGTGTTTTACACCAAGTGCAGCTGAACCGCTACAGTCTGCTCAAGCACTCTTGAGTGACAGAGCAGGATGTTTTTACACATTTTCTGCCTTCCCACCACAACAATGCGTTTTCAGTCACCACCGCTGCCAGGTGCGGCCCCCGGGACCTCCCGCCCGCCCCGGGCTCGGCTCCGGGCTCCGCACCCGCCGCGTCCCGCAGACCCACGCGGGGTCCCGGGACTGGCGCCTTCGCCCCGGTCCCACCGCCCAGCCGCGTACAGAGGCCGTTCGGCTCGGAAACGAGGACCCCACGGCCCTCGGAGACCCCCGGGAGCACACGGGAGGCTCCCCCGCCCCGCACATTCCTCCCCCCGGCCGCGGGTCGCGCCCGCAGCCCCCCGCCCTTACCTGTACCACTCCAGCCCCTTCTCGTAGTTCCTGTCGAAGAAGTGGGGCTCGGTGCCCACGGCCCGCACGTCGGGGTGTGCCCGGATGGCTTCCAGCAGCGCCCGCGTCCCCCCCTTCTTCACCCCGATGATGAGGGCTTGCGGCAGCCGCTTCTCCCCGTAGTCCGGCGTGGTGCTGCTGCCGCCGCCGCCGCGGCTGCCCGGGCTGCCGGCCCGGCTCAGCTCCTCGTCCGTGGTGCTCGACTCCTGCGGGTCCCTCTCGAAGGCTCCGCTCTGCGCCGTGATCACCTCCCCGGGGGCCAGCGGCGTCCGCAGCCAGGCGCCCGCCGCCCCTCCCCGGCTGCCGTTGGAGGCCCGCGGCGGAGCGGCGGAGGGGGCCGGGGCGGAGGGGGCCGGGGCGCCGGGGCTGCCCGGCGGGTCCGCGGGGGAACGCGGGGCCACCGTGCCGGGGAGCGCGGCGGGGGAACGCGGGGCCCCGGGGGCGGCCGTGCCGGGAAGGGCGGCGGGGGAACGCGGGGCGGCCGTGCCGGGAAGGACGGCGGGGGAGCGCAGGGCGGCCGGACCGGTGCCCCCCATCAGGCTGTAGCACAGGTAGGTGAGGCAGAGGGAGAGGCTGCACATGCAGAGGAGCTTCCGCGCCGGCGGCCCCTTAGAGCCGCGCCCGCCCGGCACCCCCGGCTGGGCGGGGGGGGACATGGCTGCTCCCCGCTCCTCGCCCCGGGCACCGGGCGCACATGGTGTCAGCCGCCGCCCGGCCGCCCCAGCCGCATGGGGCGCCGCTGCCCGCCCGCCCCGCCGCCGCCGCC